AGCCTTACACGATCTTTCTTTGCAAAGTTATAGAATTTACCAGTAAAGCCCTAAGTATTCATTGGCAGCTCAAAGTAGCAGAAATAAGACGAAAGTAACTTAGGACTTTTCTTGTAAATTCTATAACTTTGCAAAGAAAGATCGTGTAAGGCTGGGAGATGTCTCATTTTAATCAGAAATTTGCGGGCTACAATCATGTCTCATTAAGAAAGGTTCTGGTTATTTTTTAGAGTTTCTGAAAAACTGTTTTTCTAGAAAACCAGATCTTCGAAGGGCTAAGGGTAATCCCCATGGTCATATTTGGAATTAGCATGGTCAATAACCTATAACTCACTAGATTCCGAGCAAAAAGTGTTTAACTACCTCGAAAGGTTCCCTCGTTAGTAACGTCGGAACAAACTGTATATTTACTAATCAAATACATATAGTGGATTTACGCACAGTAGCGAATTGTCCATGGTTATTAAAACAGCAGATAAATGAAAAGATTCAGTACCGATTCGTCGACATTTTATAGTGTCAGCGCCTCACTAACATCTATCATCTTCCCTCCCCAATGATATCGACGAGTCAGGAAAAAAATTAATGAGTCGACGAATCGGGACGACAGCAAATGAAAATAATCAAATATTATTGAAACATGAACGTGTAAACCAGTACGTGGATTAGAATTAATTAGTGATTTGAAAGTCACATTTTTCCCTTGCATGTTACCCAGTAGAATGGCAAACTCGAAACTTTAACGTTATATGTAATATTTTTTCTGTTACATTCTCTTGTAGAAAATAACCTAGCATATCATATTTTTATCGTGAAAACGGCAAAGCCATTGTGAGAACACTTTTACTCTGGGTTGTCGTATCTTTTCTGTTACATCTTGTATAAAAGATGTGCATATTTTTTAGGTGCTATTGGTTTCTGAATGCCCAGAATGGATGACTACTGCTGATCGGAAGAGAAACCATAGTCTCTTCCGTATCGAAAGAAAGACTTTCAGAGGTAAAATCGAAAGAGAGTTTTGTGGAATACCCATTTCTTTTTCGGTTCTGGAGCACAGCAACAAAATTAAGGCCAACGAAATCGATACAGTCAAATGTGGACTTAACCCGCAAAAAGAAAAACATCCATCGGTTGTGTTTAAGAATAACTGCTATAACAAAATGGACAAACCGATATCATTTAGCAACAAGTACGTAACGTCAAAATGAAGTAGACCCTCCAGTTGTGAAGATATGTGAAGTGTATCGTTGGAAACTGAAAAAATATAATGTCATGACGTGAGAGGCGTGCCGCGGCGAAGAAAAAAATGATAGGTGTGTTTTTTGGAATACAACAAGAAATTTTCGGAGAATGTGCTTTCTTTTCGCTGCTTCTTACTATAATCATCTGGACAGACTTTGCCTTCCAAAAATCGGGAGATAGTCTTTAGACCGGCACAATCGAAAAGCAAATGCGGTGTACAACAAAGCACACCTATCGCCACAGTGAGCGGGTATGGGAAAGGAGACGATAAGGATAAAAGCGTTTGAAGTACTGTTTTCCACAGCAAAGACGTCGGATTAAACTAGAAAAAATGTATTATTTAAAAAAAAACATTTTCTATAAAAATTTCCTACCATTTTTTTTCTTATATAGTAGTTAAGATAAGTTAAGTTTATTCCAAAAGGTGCGACTTTACATGCTAGTAGATAAATATAACACGATGGATCGATCGTGCAAGTTCAGCAGTTGGTCACTTCACCCATTCATGGAATTAGTTATATTTCTTTACATCTCAATAATAATTAATTTAACTAATTCCAATACTTTTAAAACTAGAAAAAACAATTATGAAGTGGAAGACTAATGCATGTATTCGGCAACGTGTGAAAGCTCAGCGCACTTATGCACTAAAACTTTCTTGATCTATAATACATCTCAGAACAGACTCTTGTAGCTCATAAAGTCAGTTGCTTACAGTTTTATTTTAAAATCCACCCAAATTCGAAATATTATACATTCGTCTGATTAATTGGTTTAGAAAAAGGTCGAATCATCAAAACGTCGCTAACGATGAATTTTTTTTCTTTCTTCATATATCGTTTGTGTTTACTAAGAAAAAACCGTCTTTTTTTCTTTCTTTACAGAATATTATTTTTGAAAATAAATAGAAAAAAAAGTATAATCATAGTTGCCTTCCATTTGATAAGACTAATGTTGCAAGAGAGATTTATAGTGATTATGTTAGTACTATCAATATAGCGCAAACTACATTGCCTCAACAAACAGGTTGACATTGTTTCCATCTTTCCGTAGACTTAATAAAGTTATGAATCATATCATGACGTCAGTTACTAATTTTTTACTTTCGTTAGATTGGATCATTTAAAACTTCTTCAATTCTTCCCTCATTATTACCTCTTTTAACTTTCAAAGAAATATCATTTATCTTTTTGGAACGTCAGTTACATCAATCGATTCGATCTAATATTTGAAGTCTGCTTGATAAAACAAGTAGGAATTGTTACTCTTCTCTTAAGAGGTGTTCTCTTGATTCTTGCTAGACCAAACTGTTTTGTAGCAAGCAAGGGTTTCGTATATTTACTTTCCAAGTTGAATTTGTGTAATTTCATCTAATCTATCGATATAGCAATTAGTCTCTTATTTTTAGCACTTAGTTATGTTTCAATCAATTTCCATGCTTTCATTTTACTCTAGGTGCGATCTTGTTTATTTTTAGGTCATCTATCAGAAATACTGCTTAACAGTTTTACATCAGCTGGGTGTGCGTTCACGCACCGTAGTTTTATCGGACTGTTTAATCTTGATTCAAAAAAGTCATGCTTAAAGATGAACCAATAGCGTCAACATCATTATCATCAACAGCAACAACATCTGTAGATAATGACACCAGTTACAAAGAATATTTAAACGTAAGTTTGCAGATAAGTAATGATCTAGCATCCGTCACTGTTTTCTAATCATAAATAGGGAGCAAAAGACCGCATAACTGATCCATATCTAGTTTTTTTGTGAAAAACTTAGAAGTATACATGTGTAGAAAATGTGTACCTATTTCGCCTGTTTTCTAGGTCGATTTGAGGAAAACACCATACAAATGTTTACCAGAAGATTTTGTCGATAGCAAATCAAAAACGGTGAGAAAATAATTTTTGCGCATCAGAGAATCGAACGCTAACTGCTACAATGTGAACTGATATTTTTAGATCAAAGGCAAATTTTTAGTACAAATAGAAGATGTTGAAAATGCTGATTTGAATGATCAAGAGAATAACAGTGAATCAAATACAGAAGCAAATGGTGAATCTTTGTCATCGTCGCCTGGTGGGATTGAGAGTAGTTTAAAATTGACCATTACCGATGGTTTTACCACGTGTAGTGCAGTTACAACAGGACAAATAGCTGGTTTAACGTAAGCTGTTTATAGCTGCTTTTTTTGTGTAGAGTATGATTTATACTGTTTATATACTAAAGATTTATCAACGAATTGGCTGAAAAAGGTTCTTAGTCTTAATCAATGATGCCTGCTTCAGTCTATATTCTACCACCGATTTTCTTCTATCTCAAATACTGAAAATCATGTGTTTCTTCCGTTTCTTTTAGCACTGACACCGCTCTCGGTTCAAAACTAACGCTTTTTGGTGTTATACCAATAAAATCCAGTGCTTTACAATTATCGAGCCAAAATTGTCGTTGGATTAGTGGTAGCAGTACACATCCAAGGCCCAAATCATATTATCGAGTATGTATATTATTTTCTACAATATAAAAAAAACAACAGATATTTAGGTCACATGCAATGATGATTGAAAGTTGATCGTTTAGATAAGTGACGTGAATGAATACAGCCATATCAAATAAGAGACATCTCTTTGTTTTCCTTTTTTCGCAAATATCTGATAGCTATTCGCACATATATATTTCTAGTTTGACATATAGTTCGTCACTAAGTCATTTTTTACCAAATTAAATATATGTACATGCAATTCGAATGGAAAAACAATAAGTTTACTCTGGTCAGAGCCTTTTTAGGGTTCTACTTTGAAAGTCTTAATTTTTTTACATTTCTGAATAGACAAAAGTCTGGTGAATGTAATGGTAAAATTTGTTTTTAATTTGAATTAAAAATGATTTAGTTACGAACAATAATGAGTAAAGCAACAATTCTTGGCAAATATCGAGCGCTATTTTTCTATGTTCCAGCTATTCTGGGAATTCTGTTTTTGTTGAAAGAGAAAAATCTAAACTACAAAACGTGCATCAAACAATTTTTTTCCTTGCAAAAAGTTTCAGAAACTAGCATCACTAGAAAATATTTTGGTAAAACTTTAGCGAAAAAAGCTTTTTGGTATATCTTAGTTAGTGTCAAAAATAATCACTTGTTACCAGACGCAAATACAAGAAAACATAGCCTATGTAAAACTTTGTCGATCTATTATTCTTTAAAAACTTTCAAGTTAATTTTTAGTGGTTTTTCTGAAGCATTTTCTAAAAGTCGGTTTTGAAAAAAATGGAGATTTTATTTTGTGTTTAATACTTAGGACTTTCGGCAAAGCGTCACTAGTAACACGAAGTAACTGAGAATTTTTACATCAATTTAAAGAAAATTGAATACAGATTCAAGCGTCAATTCGGAAATTGAAAAAACTCTCATCTTTTGTTTCCAAGATTGGTAATTAATGCTAACTGATTAATTTTTTAACGATGATCAGAGCAGTGATTATATATTCATAATAACTGAATAAAGATAAAACTTATTATACACTATTCGAAAAGCATTTGAAGTCCTCTTACATGTAATAATCAGCCATTCTTCAAACTTATCCTTAAATAAGGAAAAAGAAGCGTTTTAAAAAGAAGATCGAGACTGATGTTTTGACAATTTACGCAAACATTTTTAGTAATAATTAGTTTCTGAAGTTTTTTGTAAGAGAAAAAATTGTTTGATGCATGTTTTGTAATTTAGACTTTTCTCGTTCAACAAAAGCAAAATCCTCAGAATAGCTGAAACATAGAAAAATAGCGCTCAATCAAGAACTTTTGTTTTAGTCATTATTTCGAACTAGTAGTTATCAAATGTGTTATAGAGAGTAAAAGAGAAAAAAAACAAAGTAATTTCATTTTCTACTTGTTTTTATGTAGGTACATTGGTTAATAGTTTTTTGACAATTAAATCATAGTAATTATTCGATTAGAACACTATATAATTATCTATAATTTATTTTATTTTCAATTGACAAAAATAAGTGTATCAGTACTTTTTCTTTTTTTTTTTGGACTAAAGCCAAACATTTAAAGTGTTTCTATTAACACCTATTGACTTTTTACATTTATTTTCACTATTACTATTGGTATGATAATGACAGAATGCAATCAGTACGTACTCACTTCACACAATAACATGTGTGTAATCTTGTTTCGTCGATCTATTCTTTTGTTTCTCTATGGTTCGATTTTACACAACGAATATCGTTTATTCTAATCAAAATATAGTAAAATATTTTCTTAAGATGTGTAACTGTGAAAATATTTTTTCATTGATGTGTTTCATAAACGAATGTTTTTAAAATATTACGAAATATATCCAAACTTGAGCTTGAAAAAGATTGGTCAAAAGTTAATTTCACGAAAAAAGATTCTTTTCATGAGTCTTATGTGAGCATTCAGGAAACAAGCTCACTCCTTAGAAGAGATGAGATATGAATGGAATAAATAAGGAAATGATAGTGGAAGCGAGGTCCGGTAGATTTTATTTTTTTATGAAGTTTGACTCAGAACTCCGCACTACATTATATTATTTGTTTGCTTAAAGGAAGGTGGTTCGAGAAGTGGCAGTGACGGTTATAAAATGTTCAATGCAAGACGTAAGTGTTGATTCAAATAACAATGATTTCTAAATAAATGGATAAAAAATTTTTTTGCTTATATTCTAGGCAATGGACGATATCAAGATGAAGATGAATATAGTTATACGAAAAGGCCATTACCTTTAAGTTTATTTAGTTTTATTGGGCCTAAATTTAAAGGTTTGGATATGAATGATTCGTGTAAGTTTAATGCTCTCAGTCTGTTTTCATTTAAAAATTCGTATTTTTTTAATTTAGCGAATAGTAAGGAATATTCTTCAACCTCCCAACGTGATACGTATTCTAAACATGATGATTATTCTAATACGAAACCATCGTCTTATTCCAATAAGGAACATGGCAACTACCATCGCGGTAATATTCGATATCCTTCTCCATCTTCATCGTCTCAACAGAATAATAACACATCACCCACAACACGCAAAACAACGGGATCTATAACAGATTCATCAACGAACGAAAATAAACAGCAAAATTTCCGTGAAAGATCGTATAGAAATAATTATGAATCAACATCTAATTACCCACGTACGCAACAGCAAAATAACCAAACAGATGGGCGTGATTCTCAGCAACAACAGCAGGTTTATCGTGAAAGAAGAAATCCATTACCACCACGGTGAGAAAAGAAAATATTTACGTTTCGGTTGTCTCCTTGTTAATGTATGAATGACATTAGTGCTTGGAAGCGTGAGAAAACATACGACTTCAATATCTGATTGTGGATTATGTATTAGTTGTTCATAGTGACTGTTGAGTCATTGAGGAACGTTTATTAAAGTGTTCTCCTGTCTGTAAATATCGTCGCCGCATTGCATCCTATATTGACGAACCTTTCGTGGAATGTCAGTCATGGAATAGTATGACTGTAGTATAGATTTCGTCTTCATACCTCTAGTCCTTATCGAGCTCATTAGACAAAATGATTCTATTTTTCTATGAAGATTTCAGAACTTTAACTATAAAGCAAAGATCCACATATCGATTTCATAATTAGTAAATACTAAAGGAAAGTTTATTTTAAAGATTAAGTTCAACGAGGATCTAAACAACTGATTTATATATAACAAATAAGAAAAACAAAAAGTTGCTTTTTAGACATAATGGTACTAATGTTCACTACATATTTTAAGACTTTTTGTAGAAACTAGAACTAGGAGCTCTCATTTTAACCGGAAATACTTGTTCTTTGAAGTAGTATTTATCAAATTCATTTTTTTGTAATGTGTGTTCGTGAAACGAAGTGCTTTTTAAATGAGCAGTTTAATAAGACTTCTCAAAAACGTTCGTTATGATCAAAAGCAGTATATATTCTTAGAGTAGATACTCTGAGCTATCCAACTGTGTGCTTATGTGAATATCAACCTCGTATTTGGGAGAGTTTATTGTAAGTTTTGTTTTTTTGTAATTTAGATTACAACGAGCGCAAGAAGAACGAACACGTAGAAACACAAATCGTTATTACGAAGATCCCTCGTATGTTACTGGTGGAGAAGATGCGTTGTCACCATATAATAATGGTGACACTAATGGCCACCGTAATGACGTCAATTCACGTCGATCCTATCGTAATCAAATCGGCTCATCGAATCAATCGTCATATCCTCATAATGCTATGATTAGTGGGGGAATGGGCGAAACCTTACATGCTGCAACTCCATTAGCAAATAATTATTACTTTACAAATCAGGTACGTACTGAGAAGAACGATCCTCACGAAAGAGTTGAGGGAAGTAAATATTTGGCGCCCTGATTTTGTCAGATGTTTAATCTTTCCCATTTTCAGTCACAGCGCAATATTCCATCAATAATTGTTTCACTCAATCTATTAAAAGTCAAGTACCAAACAGTTTGCGCCTCTTGTACTTCTAGGTAATGAGTGCATATTCACTCGCTGCACCACAAACAAGTATTTACCAACAAATGCCGTATAATTGTACATCGAACGATCAATACACATACTGCTATGGTTATCCAAAAGAAGCTATTTATACAACTGCTCTTCCGTCTACATGGACGCCTGATATGCTCTCCGCAGCTTCTGTTTCTTCAAATGATCCAAATAATAGTGCTTATTACAATGTTCAAACGCAATCGAATGGTAGCCCCATAAATGGAGATACAAGTACAACCAATACTAATGGTACGAAAACAAATGGTAATAATGATAATGCTGATATAGAGCAACCACCGTCATCACCTGTTGAGGACAGACAATCGCAGCAGCCACAACAACAGCAATGTGATAATCAAGTTCAAGATACAACTTCAAACCAACAAGATTTCAAAACAAATAATAATGAAAAGCGACGAGATTCGAATTCGGTAAAAGGTTTATTTTCCTCATACTAAACACTACTTAATCTTTGTTTCTTCGTTTATAGAACTCTCGAACATGGCAAATCGGTGATTTCTGTATGGCCCGTTGGAAAGACGATGGACAAGTGAGTAAAACAGAGATATCTAACAGATTATGGAGTATCTAATTTTTATTTTAGTTTTATTGTGCAAATATTGTTGGAATACAACAGAATTCCTGCATAGTATTATTCAAAGATTATAACAATTATGAACAAGTATTATTTAGTGAACTTAAACCAGTTCCGAGAGATCAATTAGTAAGTTAATTATTTCACTTCTGAATGAGAAAACTTTATTATGTTTAAACATATACTATTTTTGCTTCATATTCATTCAATAATTAGTCGTTTTGATGTGTTAACATATCTTCATTAGATGTCAAAAGATAAATTCATATTCATACACGAAAAATATGAAAACTGTTTACAAACAGAAGAATTAGAAATAAAATGGCGAAGCATCGCACATACGATGTTTACTTTGTTATAAATGTTCAACAAGACATTTCGTCTTTAATCAGATCGGTCAGATTGACAGCTTAAAACAAAAAAGAAAAAACAACTATGCCAAAGGAACAAACACAACAAAAGATATATTCACGTGATTATCTGCTTAAGATCGGTAGGACTGTATATTCTGTGTATTTAGAACTGAATTTTATTGAGGATAATTAATTTTGTTTGTGTTTGTTCCTTTGGCATAATTGTTTTTTCTTTTTTGTTTTAAGCTGTCAATCTGACCGATCTGATTAAAGACGAAATGTCTTGTTGAACATTTATAACAAAGTAAACATCGTATATGCGATGCTTCGCCATTTTATTTCTAATTCTTCTATTTGTAAACAGTTTTCATATTTTTCGTCGTGTGTGCATTTATCTTTTAACATCTAATGAAGATATGTTAACACATCAAAACGACTAATTATTGAATCAATATAAAGCCAAAATAGTATGCGTTTAAAAATAATAAATTGATTAACTTCGTGCGAAAAATAGTCTAAATTTATTACGTGAAATATCTTGATTAATTCAACGTTATTTGTTTCTTTTTTCAGCAACATTTAATCGCAAATCAAATGACGACATCTCACTTAGATGGAATGAACCGACTCCTCCCAACGGCTTCCCTTTTTCGTCGACCAGGTTATTCAAATGATGGTATATATTTACTAGTTACTGTTTAATTTTTTTGAAAATTCATTTTAAATAAACTTTTCTATCGTTAATTTTAGGAATAATAAATTATAATTCATCGTTGTCTGACACAGTTATTATGCCGGAAGCTCCACCATTTCCATTTCATTCCAATGGCAATTTGTTTGTCTGTGCTCCATTACGAACAGTACGCTATTCTAATAACGGAAATTATAATAAACTATCCAAATCAAAACAGAATAATTCTGTACAACAACAATCAGAAAAACAAGAAGATGAGAATATAAATGGTGCTAATATTGAACAATCGTCGTTAACAAACGACGATGAACAAAGTGATAATCTTCAGCTACAACAGTCAAAACAAGATGAAAATATTACCTCAGACGACTCTAATAAAGAAAGCAAATATAATGATAGTAAAGAAAAAGATATTGAGTCAGAGATTGGAAATATGACAACAACAAGCGAACAAACAAATTCGAAACGAACGAGCAGTATGAGTAGTAGTTCTAGTCATGGTAGAAGTACAAGTACGGCAAGTGTTATTGACCATAATGATGAAATATCAGCTTCAATTGCCGCTAATAAAGATGAAAACCAGCAACAGAAGTCTACCGGAGAAGAACATAGTGATAATCAACAAGAAGAAAATGTTTGTGAATTTCAAACTTTACCATCTACGGATCATATAACTCCTTCTGAATCAATTGTCAACAAGGTCGAAGAGTCCACATCTGAAACGAACACTAATAGCAATGAAGCCAATCCCGATGAAACGAAAATAAAAGACGAATAAAATTGAAAAAATAATAATAAAAAGGTTACAGTGAATTCGAATTATAAAATTAGGGCGTATGTAATTTATAAAAGCTCTTCCTCTTTTTCCTTATTGTTATTGTTGTTAATTCTTATTGTTTATTATTTTCTTTTCGTTGTTGCTGTTCTTATTAATCTATACATTCTTATTCTATCAGCTTTTCTTTTGGTTGCTTGGCTATGTGTTTTAGTACCTGTCATACAAACACACACACACACACACATACACACACATACATACACACACACATTTGTAAAATAAGATTAGTGAAAATATGTTATTGAACCGAAAAGATATTTACGAGTATCATGGCAGCTCATCACTTGTTTTGTTTTTTGCTTTTTGTTATTATTCCTCTGTTCGCAAAATGATACGTAACTTTTTTTTAGTGTATTCGGGTCCAATATAACAAACAAACAATCGCCCAAGTGCTATCATTATTATTCTTTTTCTTTTTTTGTGCTCTTTGTATATCTCTTTTGTTATATTTCCTCCATTAACACAATCGATGTAATTTTTGAAGAACATAAAAGAATGTGTGCGCCCACAGTTTAACGAAATGTTTGTTTTTGTGAGAGCACTCTGCTGCAAACTGCACTATTGGTTGTTTCTTCTTATTTATTTATCTTGTTTGCTCGTTTCTTTTTTTTTTTTATACTTTTGTCTGGATGTGTCGGAAGAGTTTTTTTTCTTATATCAGTTCAAGTTTGCTTTTGGCACTATATTTTTTTCAGTATTCAGAAGATGAGGAAAAAAAATGCATTTAACAACTAAAAAGATGCGGAACTTCAGGCATTTACCGTGCTTAAATCAGTTATTTCATCTTCATTCTTATGCTGACATGTAATCAGAAGAAAAAATTCATTGAAATAACCAGGTTCTTTGTTCCAAGTTATATATTTTTTTTGTAGCCAAAAGATTTTATTATACCAGAGGGATTTTCTTCAAAATACAAAGAAAAATTGGTGATGATGTGTCTGAGTGTGTGCGTTTTTTTTTCTTATTAATGTTGTTCGCATTTTTTGACTTTATTGATTCACTACCACTTCTGTCTTTTTTATTATATTGAACGATTTTTTCGAAGACATACGTACACATCAAATAAGGAAGATAAGTGCTAAGAAATAAATATCTGAGAAAGATGGGTGCATGGCAATACTTGAATCGATGTTGCTACACAGGTATAGCACAAACTTGACCGTAATGCTATAATGAGTAAAATTTGTTTGCTAAACAATATAATAGTTTGAATTGAGAAATTCAGCATTTCGGCAATGAACCTCACTTCTGTTACGTTCCCATGAGGGCATTTTCGATAAATTTATCGCGATAAATGATATTTTTATCCACCCGTCACCGATTTTTCTAGTATTTATCTAAAGAAAAAATTCATCGCAATAAAGAACTTTTTCATCGCAGAAATCTCTTTTATCGCGATACCTGTCGATAAATATATCATATTATAATTTGCTATGATTTATCGCGGTGAATTTTTCCTTTCGATAAATAGTAGAAAAATCGGTG